ACTTGAAGAGCTGAATGTACTGAACGGCGCTGAGAAGCAGGTTCCAGGCTCTTCTTTATACCCGTCACTCTGCCTACCTCTGACGGCTACGTAGTTGACATGGACCCTGAATTCCTAGAGGTGGAGTCGCGTGAGTGGCGGCCCCAGCCAATCAGAGCCCAGTTGATTACGCCTTTGTCACCTGCTCTGACTATCAATGCTACGCTGATTATGCACAGCCTTTCAAACGCGCCTTATTTGCTGTAGATTTTCCAAGTTATCTGATCGATAGCCATATCTTGCAGGTCCAGACTTACTCTACGGATATGTGCATATGCATTTGTTCTCATAGGTCCAACGTGACGAGTCCGGCCATTTCCTCACTTGGCATCATGGCAGATGATCTTGAACAAGTGGAGAGTACATTATTAAAAGCTAGTAGATATATACAAAACATTGCGGCGTAACAATCATGAAGAAGGCATCGTGTTGCTGCGTTTCATTCCTTTCCCCTTTAGCCGTTCCCGAGCTGGCAATTCCTTGACCACCGTCTTTGGCGAAATCTCCTCAAATTCTCCAATCGCATCCCGCACCCTCACCGGTGTCCGCGGTCGTTCGTCTGCCAACTCTCCAACAAATGTGGGGCCCCTCGGTCTTGCAGATACTCCTCTTGGAGACTCTGTGGCCCTTCTTGCCAACTCCCTGACTCGTCCTGGTGAGTCTCTCGAAGGGCTACTTAGCACGCTCGTGTCACCCGAAGTTCTTCGTATCGAATTATCCCGCTGATGCTTCGACAGTGACTGCCTAATGCGCGAGTATTGCGTCCATTTGGTCAGCCTGGAAGTCCTTAGTACCTCCCCAACGGCTTCTTGGAGTTCTCTTACCGCATTGTTCTGCAGCGCCTGGAGCAGCACAATCGCGTTCTGGTGGTCTCTACTGGCCGTTGAGGGGTTTTGCTGCGCAAGACCCTCTTCTGTTGCATTTGCATGTTCTTTGATAATCTCAAGAAGTCCACTGTCTTCTTTGATCTCGTCAGCAATGGCAGCGGCACCCTCCAGCGTCTGTGCCAGCAAGCCTAGACCAAGTAGTCCTTCCGATCTAGCCTCGGGGTAAAAGCGTTGACGGACGAGCTGGGCGATTGGACGTGCGATCTGGGGCACCTGTAGAATCTGTATTTGTACTGCTTCGACATCTTTTTCTGCATTTGGTCGTCCGAGGTAGCGCAACATGGCGACAATGGTGCGGCCAAGCTCAATCATGGGATTCTTCATCGTGGTGCTGGGAAGCGGTTTAGATGCAACGAGGGCCTGTTCGACAATATGTGAGAATATTACAGTATCCGCTGAGACATCTGCATCAGATGCTTCAGTGTCGGATCCGACTGTTTCGTACATGACTTTCTCAATGTTGTAAAAGTTGCCGGTGACGAGCTTGCACAGTATCGCTGCCGCCTCGCCACGAACTGAAGGATCTTCCAGTACGAGCATGCGACAGCATGCTTCCATAAGCCCGGCATCTGCAAGCAAAGCCCTATTAGCTTCTGGAAAAGTGAGATGTCGCATGATACCCGCCGCAGCGTACAGAAGGGCGGGCTTATCGCTCTTCTTCATAATCGTGACCAGGCGAACATGGAGCTCCATGATCTTGACCATGTCAATGCAAACTTCGTCAGACATGGCCAAGTTTCCCATCATAACACAAGCACATATCGTAGAAGGCTGTGCGCTCTCCCAGGGTGCTCGTAACTTGGCCTCCATTCTTTCGATGACTGGACTTCTGATGTTAAAGTTTTGCGAAAAGATATCGCTTGCTGAGGCGGCAGACAACATGCCAATTAGCTGAGCCATGAGGAGGACCTGTGCTTCGTCTGATGAAGTGCTGTCTGCGTTTTTGCTTGTTGCGAGCTCCTCAAACACAGCATTGATCTCCTCTGGCTGGAGCCGCGCCTCGAACTCCAACATGAGAGTAACGAGATCATCAAGAAGCTTTGGTGTTGCTATTCTCTGCTGAAAGTCTGGATCCTGGAGGTAATGTACCAGAATAGCAATGTACTCGAGGTAATGGTCTTCGTCAAACTGGAGTGCTACATTTAGTAAGCTCTTAAACGTCTCGAGGGATACTTCGTCCTTGAACTGAGCGTCGTTCAGGTTACTCGTAGTCCAGCTGAGTAGATCTGTGGCGTAGTCGAGTGCTGCCTCTGGTATCCTGTCGAGAACAAGGAAGGTGGTTATCGTGGCATCCAGTCTCAGTGTAGCCGCTGCGGCTTTGGCAGGATCTGTCTGCATGAGCTGCATGTTCGGAGCGGCTTCCAATCCTGCTCACCAAAGTCGTTGCAAAGATTGAAAAGTACGGCCAGTGTAGTCAGGCGTAGCTCTGCTGACTGAAGACAGCCAATGATGGCCTGTACGTCTCTCACCGCGAGCTCTCTGTTGGTATCTTGGTTCCAGTCAGACTGTCTGTATTGTAGAAGGCTCCACTCCAGGATACAGTACCGTTGTCGGCCACAGAATTACCGATGACTCTCAAGCATTGCTTTACTATAGGCTCATCGTCGCGGGCAGCTGTCAAACCCCGCAGAGCGAACGCAAGAAGGCCGCTGTCCCTGAACGGAGCCTGCCATCTCTCTGTGACTGGTTAGTAGAGCGTATTTCATGGGCCTGCAAAACATACTGCGGCCTCCAACGGCGGTTCCAAAGAGTTGTAGCGTCTTCTCTATGGGTACACGGTCCCCACTTGTTGCAAACGCAGCGAGCTTATGCACGTAGTCCGTGAGAGCAGCGGTCTGGCCTGCAGGGTTCCCTTGAAGTAGACGCTCTAAGGACGCTACGTGTTCGCCAAGCTCCTCATTGGATAGTGGCATATCGGAAAGTTAGGAGGAGGATGGAGAAATGCAATTGCCGCAAAAAGTCGTGACAATGGTCGGGTCAGGTCAGGTGTGCATGGTGGCGGCTGCGCAGCGGGAAAGATAGCAAATGGTTTTTAGTTGCCCCGGTATTCCCGTCCAAGCAACAGCTGCAGAGTGGGATTTGTCAGGCGCAACAGCAGAAAAAGCTGCAATTATTGGTTTCAGCCACTTGTTTTTCAAGACGCGCAAAGCGGGCAAGTTCCTACGGCGTTCTCGACCCACCGGCCGCTTAGCCTTGCCTTCGTTCGGCTCCGCTGGGCCCCCCTGGGAAAGATCCCTTGGCGACAGTTGAGCGATCTGGCACTCAACACTCAACACCAGACGACCACGACCACGACTATCTCGCGCCCATAATTTTGCCGACCAAAGACTTTCGTTGAAAACAATTCTACCTTCAATACCGCCACCATGACGCGCGCTCAGCAGACCATCAGCATTGCGATGCTCCTTACTTCTGTACGACAGCCCCTTAGCCGTGGCATTCGATTCAAGATGGTATTCTAACATGTGCTGCACAGGTATACCTTGCCCTGTTCCTCCAGGTCGTTCCTCTGCCCCAAAAGGTCCAGGAAGAGATCATCCCTTATGTAGGCTTCCCCTCCTCATCTGTCAATGCCTGGCTGACCTCAAGATAGATTCCCTTCTGGGCTCTCATCTCCTTTGGCGCCTACCTCCTCTTCAGCCTGGGCTGGGGTGTCTTTACCTTCAACGATGTACCGGAAGCGCACGCCGAACTTATGCAGCAAATAGCAGAGGCACGCAAAGACCTCAGCGCAAAGGGCGTGGATGTTGGCGAGGATTGAACGTGACAGGTGTAATGGGAACTGCATAATAGGGCGTTGGTAAGGATTCGCGACAGGAGGGGGAATATATGTATTGTATGGTTATTTGGAAGTTTCTGGCAAGATGAGCAATTATGCAGAACAAGACAATCCTCCAGGTTTTGGTGGATAGTAATACTCAAGCAGTTGAGGCAGCCTCTGCCTTCTTCTGCGCCTGTTTCAGCTTTTTTTCTGTCTTCATAAATTCCCGAATGCCCACGGGTATGTCTTCAAACAGCCTTTCCTTATCGGTCTCATCCAGGCTACCGTCCCAATTGGTCTCGCTACCACCCCCGTCATCGTCCATACTCGTGGCAACATGGTTCGGTGTTGAGTCCCCGGCCACCATACGTCCAGTCCCTTTACCTTCCTGTTGCTGGGCTTGTAATGCAGCTCTCGCCTGAGCCTGCTTCTCTGCCCATTCCTCCATCTCATCTCGATACATGTCCCATACACAGTTCACACAACCGGACATGCAGCAATTGTCTGGTTCCTCGGGGCGTGGAGGGACCAAAACCCCGGCAATGTTTTGTGACGATTTCAGGATTTCTTGTCTGCGTTCTTCGAGCGCAGTCGTGGATCCGAAGATGATGCGTGCTTTTGCGAATGTCTCCTCCTTCGTAGTCTGTGGTTGTTCTTTTGGGGGCTCAGGAGTAGTATGGGATAAAGATTGGACTTGAGAGAGGGGCTTTTTTAGCATGTCTACAAGTCATTAGCACAAGTATTTTGACTCCATATGACTGTGATCTAACCCTCGTAGAAGCCTGTGATAGGCCTGGCCTGTTCTCCTTCTGGCGCTATATAGCCTTTGAATCTACGCCGTATCCGATTGCTGCTCTGTAACCCCATCTGTCCAGCCTCTGTTGAAGCATGCGACCTGCGCCATGACTTCAAGCAGGAAGCGCACAACCTTTGGCGCATAGCCTTTGATGCTGCGTGCGTGATGTGCTCCATTTTACCAAAGGAACAACTACGACTCAGCAGCGCAAAGCGATTGAAATATTCTGACTATAACATGCCGAGACTGCGGATTTACAAGTTGTGGAGTTTGGAGCTTGACTGGTATCAGCGAAGAGTTCGACGTCATTTTGCGTCGCATTTCCAACCGTCGGCAAAAGCTGCAGCGAACGCCGACAGGGTCACAACACGCGCCGACGCGTCGCATTCACTCTCGTCGCAAAGCCCCGCCGAGCACGTATACCAGAACGATAATACATTCCTAGCACGAAACCGACTCTTACTACGCGCCAAAGTCACATGCTTGCTCATCCGGTCGTATACGCACACTGAATGCCATGAGTGAACCATCGTTCAAGCGGAGGAGGACCCACTCCCCCGATAGCCGCGCATCGAGTCCACTGAGACAACCTCCACGCCGACCGTCTTTTGCGTCCCCTACCAAAGCTAGCCTGGCGGAGACCTATCCGAATCTTCGACCTTCTACATCAACCCCTCGCCTTAGTGCATCTCCCAGACGCAGAGCTCGTGGAGATGTATCGGCCAAGGGAAGACAAGCGCGTGCTGCCGAGGATGCTCAAGAGGCCAGTAAAGAACCAGACCTACCGAATACACCATCACAACGAAATTTTGAAGGACCAAATCAACCGCCTCGGGGCATCCTATTTTCCTCGCCGAGTAAACGACCTCCACGTGCGAAAAATGGCTTCAAACAGTCGCCATTGAAACCGCAAGCACCTGCCGTACAATCAGATGATGATACCAGGGCGGTAGAGGATGGGCCAGTAGAGGAAAATGTACGTAAGGTTGCAGAACAACAGCCTCTTGATCCTGAGGTGGAGCGGAGAAAACAGGAAAAAGCACGGCTACAGCGTGAAGTGGAGAAATTAGAGTCTCAAGTCTCGAGGTGTATGGATGAGATTGAAAAAGAGCAACGGCGAGACCCAGAAGAGACATTACAATCCCAAGAACGTGAAAGTCTACGGTAAGCTTTTAAGAAGTGGTGAACGTAGATCAATGATTGACCTCAAGCCAGCACCTTCATTACCGAAATCAGCGGAGCAGACACAGAACCGGAGAAGCCAAAAGTATCCAGTCTACTCTGCTCATTCCTTCCATTCGCCGCCATGCCCGCTCCTCGACCACGCTCGAAGCAATCAGACAAGCCCGTTCCATCCCATCGGCCAATAGACCTAGCAGACCCTCTCCCCTACCTCGAAATGTTCACCTCCTTCAAATTCTCAACCCGCCTCAGCCTCCCCCGAAGCAAATCCGGCGCATCCTCCCGGCGAAGCCACCAAACCCACACAATCGACATCACCGGCCCCCAAAAACTCCTCACAGCCCAACTCTCCCTAACACTCGACGCTCTAGCCCCTGAAATAACAAAACTACAGCTCACCCGTCTCTCACCCTGGGCAGACCACGAACTCGGCACCTTCATCCACTCCCGCGCCCAACAACGCGATCTCAGCAACGCCACCTGGGCCATAAATTCCTACTGGACACTCGCCCAGAAACGCGCACAGTACTGGCATAAGCTTGAAACAAGCTTCCCCCATCTTCTTATCGGCCGCTCAGGAAACGACACGGAGAATGCATTGCAGACACAGGCTCAGTCTAAACCTTGCAGTTCGATTTCGAGAAAGGAGCTGAATCGCCATCTCGGTCGTGATACGCTGGTGCTACAAGATAGTCATGTTGTGCTCAAGCTGAGTTGGCGCATTGGGTTTGATTGGACGGGCGAGGCCGAGTCGGATGTCGCTGTTGAGACGGCGTTTCCTCGCGTTTGTAAGTTGTTGTTGTTTTTTCTTCTTCTTTGACGTTGAAATTGGTAGACAAAGGAATGTTTGTTGGGAGACTAACGAGATGATATAGGGTCGGAGACGGATACAGCGGATAGCTTGAAGAAGGTGCCTGAGACGTTTGATTCGTTGATGCGGGGGAGGGGGGTGTTTGAGGCAACGAGGATTATTGTTGCTTTGCTGTTTGCGCAGTAGGAATGGATGTTTATGATGTAGGACTGGAGGTGTTTGGGGTAGAAGCAAGGAATATACCCTTTTGCGATGTTGACATGAATTTTGGTTTGGTATTTTTTCTAGAAACGTAAATGTTATATGCCTTGTCAAACCACCTCAACTCTTCTCCCCAGCAACCTCTTCCTTAACAACGGCATCCTTCTTCGGCGGCCTTTCCCCAAAAATCTCACTTCCCACCCTCACCTCATCACTCCCCATACGAATCGCGCCCTCAAAATCCGCACTCATGCCCATACTCAGCTCGAGCTTCTGCTTGTCCCACCCCAGCGCCTCAGCAACCTGATCCCGCGTCTCCCTCAACGCCACAAAATCCTCATTCTCATTCTCCTCCGTCATGGCCTTACTCCTCGCAATGGCGCCAATCGTCATAAATCCCGCTAGCTGCAAGTGCGGACACTTATCCACCACATGCCTGCACAGCGCGAGCGCATCTTTTGGCTCAACACCCGATTTACTCTCTTCCCCCGACGTATTTACCTGCACCATAACCCTCAACCTACTCGCTTCCTTATCTTTTTCCAACAAGGCCTTGCGGCCCTTTTCGAGCTCATTCGCCTTCTTCTCGGTGTCGACGCTGCTGACGCACCAGAGATTTGGGATTTGCTCGGCGAGGTGCTTGCATTTGTTTGATTGGAGGCCGCCGATCATGTGCCAGTGGATGGAGCGGGGCAGGAGGTTGGCTTTTTCGAGGAGTTCCTGGACGTAGTTTTCGCCGAAGTGGGTTTGGAGCGGGTTGGGGGGTTGGTGCAGGGCGAGGATTTCGTTGGCGGGTTTGAGCTTGGAGACGGCGATTAGGCGCACCTGGTGAAACGGTTTTGTTTAACTTTGAGTGAAGGGAAGGATGTGGAAAGGGGGGGTGTACGCACTGGTTTGGTGCCTTTACTCGCGGCATTGATGCGCGCGGTTATGCTGGCAATGTTTTCGGACAGTTGCTTTGCGCGTTGTGGGTTGATTTGCATGTCTTCGGCCATTGTTGATGCAGGTCTGATGTTTGTGTGTAGGTCGTACAACGTGCATGTATGAAGACGTCAGTTCGGCGTTAAGCAGGGCATTATCTCCGGTTAGCGCTAAAGTGTTGCTCGAGTATACAGCTCGCGTGAGCATTTCCTTGTGGTGTTTACATAAAAGAGATGTCCGTAAACTAAGAGTATGCGATAGATGATTTCAAATCGAGGTTATTCAGCCCAGTATCCCGAGAATAGTAACCATTGGAGCTACTGAACAGCCTTTCAACCTAAATAATACTAAATGTATGCTGTCAAATGCTGCCAGACCACAAACCCTTCAACGAAGGCATCGTCCAAACTTACTAGCAGAAAAATATGTCCATTGAAAACTGCCAAATGTTTTAATCGTACCTTCGACTGGAGGGGGAGGCAACTCAATAGCAAGTAAGCTTGTCATTACTGAGCACGAGTAGTAGATGTCCAGAGCGTAGAAGCAGACATAAGGGCCCTCAGAATGTAGCAGATAGCAGTATGTACGAGCAAAATTCTTGAGGTATATATTAACTCCTTTTGTGACTGGTGAATATCAAGAAAAAAAAAGAGTTTGAAATGTTGAGATGGGCCAGAAGTTTGGGTATTATTTATGTCTGTATGAAATGATCGCCTGGGATTGACTGAAGTCTTTTTTCCATCGGGCGACGGCTTTGTGTTTTGCTCAGACTTTATAGCTTCGCTGACACTGATACAGAGTCTGTCTGGATGAGTAATTCCGATATGTTTTGTCTTGCTCAATTGATGTATAAGAGAGAAAAAAAAATCCTGTGAGACCTGGAGGCGCAGATGGATTCGAATGCTCCCTTTCCATATGAAGCAAGGGAGTTTATGTCTGTAAGCTGTGGACATGCAGCGTATATTGAATATTTCTGGTGTTATTCCAGCTCCGCCATCGAGGCAACCGGATATTGTACCCGTAAGCTTCACGTGATGTCTACTGTCGATCTCTCCGCGGATCATAAATGTGACCGAAATTAGCACCACGCCGTCCATGTAAAGGCGTTTTGGTTGTCGACGGAGGTTGAGCAAATTTCATTGGTAACAACAAGATGAATGAAAGATTACGTATGGGATTTACGAAGATGAAGTACTTACCAGAAACCAATGCCGCGCACACGCGGGCGGCTATCGAGCGTATGAGAGGAAAGTGGTACCGGGTGAAGAACAGAAAGGGAGCATGGGTCAAGGAATAGACAGCCGGCTTGTCGCCCCACCTGCAAGGTAAACGTAACCCACAAAAACGGTCACTGAGTCTTTGTATTATGCACCCCATGTGACACGCGCTACTTGGTACAATCTGTTATACTAATGAAATGGGGCGTAAACGTCTGTTTAGAGACTAAATCTCCGCAGCTAAGCCACCTAGTAACTTGAGGAATCTCGAAGTAATCTTTGGCATATTGCTTTATATAGCCAAGGCTTCATCCGTCCAATCCCGGATTTATCCAGAATCCCGGGGTATGGTATTACAGGTCCGAAACCCAGTAATAAATGTGCATGTACTACCGAAGGAAGGATCCTATTGTGTGCTTCTTGGGAATTAAAAGATGGCCGCGCCGTAATCTGACCATGTTCTCACACCATTGTCCTTCTTTTCCACTTGTTGTGATACGCAGTCGACGATGAAATACATTCTTCTCGCGGTAGCGGCAGCGGCAGCAGCAACAGCGCAAGATGCGCTTGAATCGCGGCTGCCTCGTCCAGATGCACAAGGGCGATATACACTTGAGGCTGAAGGGATCAAGGCGCAATTCATCCCGTATGCTGCCACCCTGACCAACCTCTGGGTCAAAGGTGGGTAATCAATGAGATGAGATGAGCAAGTGCAGCTACTGACGGAAGCACAGATTCAAAGGGCAAATACCAGGACATTGTCCTAGGCTATGACAATACGACGTATTACCGTAAGACTTTTTGTCGTGCTAGAGTCAACTCCATCTAACATTGCCCAGCGGTTGATCCTGGACATCCCGTGTACAATGCCATTCCTGGACGATACGTCAACCGCATTGGAAATGGAACATACAAGATTGGCGACGTCACGTACCATACAGAGAAGAACGATGGGCCGAACACTCTGCATAGCGGCACCAACAACTGGTCTTACAGGGTGTGGAACGTGACGCGTGTGAGCAAGTCGTCAATCACATTTGCCATCTCAGATGCTTCCAACTCGTCGTTGGGCATGATTGGTCGCGTGGATGCCAGCGTCACATATTCGGTCTCCAAGAACAAGTGGCACATTTCCATGGATGCTACGTCGCCGGAAGCGAAGACTCCTCTCATGTTGACACAGCACACGTACTTTCAGCTTGATGCGTTCAGGCGACCGGACAACCGGACCATTTGGGATCACACAGTGTACATGCCCGAGGCTAAGCGCGTGGTAGTGACTGATGCAAATGCTCTGCCCACGGGAGAGATTGCGCAGATTGCAGCGAACGCGACTGATGATTTCTGGTCGGCGCCGCACAAGCTCGGGTTTGCGTCGGACAGGGCGGGATTCGAGAACCACTGCGGTAATGGATGCCACGGATACAATGGCGCATGGGCATTCAACGAAAAGAGGGACAAGCGCAAGAGCGTGCTGACGATAGCGAGCGCGTACAGCGGCATCAAGGCGGACCTAAGGACTGACCAGGACGCGGTTGTGCTGTACACGTGCAACTGGAACGATGGCAAGACCGAGTTCAAGAGCACGCAGGGGGTTGCCGGGCAAGACAAGTTTATCCCGCGCGACGGATGCATTGCGATTGAGGCGCAGGACTACCCGGATGGCATCAACCAGTAAGTAGTACCTGGATGAGTTGTGACGTCGTCGATGAGCCAAGCTAATAGTGTTGAATAGTCCGGAGTGGGGTCGGCTGAACAAGCAGATCTTCGGGCCCGGCGACAAGTACCACTGGGAGTCGTCGTGGGAGTTTGGGACGCTCTGAGGGAGAGGCGAGGCAAGGCGAGGACTGGCAGCCGGCAGCAGCAGCAGCATGTGAAGGAGCGTACGTAGCGGGAGTATGTAAGCAGCCAGCTATGCAACCAACCCCATTCCTTTGACCGACTGTCGTGTCTGGAGCCCCGCACTCAGGCGGGGGGCGGCCGGTGGTGCTCGCGCGCCGCCCAACAGGGTGGGAGAGAGAGCCTGTTCATGATGGCGAGTGTGCCGTGGGTGGCGAGTGTCGGGGTGCAGCAGCCCAGCCTGACGCGCACAGTGCGTGTGCATGTGTACATGTAAATATGTGTAAATGCAAAAGCGAAGCAGTAGCAGTCATGTTTGGGGCGGCTGAGGGGATGGGAGGATGCACGCTATCACTAATACGATGGGTGGTTTTGACGAGGGCGGGCGCGGGCTGTTCGGCACGGCGGGCTGGCGTCGGTGACTAGGCCGACGGGTGCATGGTGGGTGCATGGCCATACCGGTACATACAGTAGCATAGTTAGTGCCTACAGCTCGTCGGCTGCCCATGTGTCGTTGTCGTCGTCGACGTCGTCGAGTCTGGCTCGCCCTCTCACCCTCTCTCTCTCACATACTACATACAGGCCGGCACCCACCCCTACACCCTCGCCCAACACTCTCGCTGCAACAGGCCGTCTCAGCTGAATGCACGCCGGGCTGACATGCCGGCGCCCGTGTCAGTGTCTGCAGCCTGATATCTGCCCATTTCGGCCCTAACAGCATCATAACGCGGTTTGCCCATCACCGCCCTGCCTGCCTGCCTGCCTGCCAAGAAACGACATCATTTCACCCATCCTTGCTCACCACCACCACCACCACTCCCACCCTTCGCCCTCGCCCTCGCCCTCGCCCTCGCCCTCGCCCTCGCCCTCGCCGCCATCACGCCTGCTCCCTCCCCGCCGCATTGCCCATGTGCTGTTTCTGTCAATCGCGACTGCCATCCCACCCCGCCCGCGTTTCCTGAGTCGCCAGCACAGGGAGAGGCACCCTCGCCGCCCACATTCCCTAGCATCCATGTCCTTGTGACACTCGCTATCGCTCACCAGACAGCCTCACCACCCTCCACCAGCCCGCCCTCGCGATAAGACTTTATCCCTGTCGGAACTGTCCGTGACACGCTTCTTGAGCATACACGGGCCCCCCAACTACAAGTTCCCCACTATCCGCCTCTCGCTCGGCAGTCTTGTTCCTTCGATTTTCTTCGTCCACAATGGGAAACTCGCAGGGAAAAGAGTCTCTGCCAGAGCGGAGGGGCCATGGCCGCCGTTCCAGCGCACACCACATCGCTTCTCCAACCACAGCCGGGCCCGGGCACGACAGATCAGGCAACAATCCCTATGGCAACTCGAGAAGGGATAGAGGAAGCAGACCAGACCTATCCATTCTCGGCTTCCGATCAACAGACCATGCTGAGCGAGATCCTGCCCTCGAGCCGCGCCGTGAGACAAAGGCCGAGAGGGAAGCCCGGAAGCTGGAGAGAGAGCGTATTCTTCGGGCGCAGGAGCGCGAAAGAAGTCTGAGAGAGGAGGGCGTTGACGGAGGCTATTTGGTCACACTTGGAGTCTATACTGGTCCCGAAGACTTCAGCAAGGCCGCGGTGCGACAGCTGCAGGTACGGCATTACACCACTACCTTTAAAAACATCTTACTGACACATGCTAGATTGAGCGCCGACTTGCTCCCTTTTGGAGAGGTCTCGATGACCACCAAGACACCTGGACTGAGCACCAGCTCGTCGAAGTCGTAAACGGCCGCCCGCTACCCGCTGCCGACGCCATTCCTCCCCAAGAGCCGCCTCGACCAAACAACAACCTCAGTCCAGTATGGAACCCCCGCAGTTCTGAGCCGAACCTGAACCAACTTACTGTGCCCATGGGCTCCCGATCCATGTCTCAAGAGCCAGAGCGCCTATCACCTTCGCACCCCGGCTCCTCGCTTCCTTCGCCTACATCTCCAATGTCCAACCAATCTTCCTCCTCACCATTCTTCCGCAGTCGCGCCAAAACTCTGGCTTCTCTTG